TGGATGCACCCAGTTACCTACCTTTTTGTTTTTCTTTTTCTCCCAGTCCAAAATGCCTCGTAGTGAATAAGATGGCGCAACTATTTTAATGACCTATCAGGAAAATTCAAATTTGGCGCAATGGGGCTGGGTGAAGTTGGCCTCCCCCATATTTTCAAAATTAAGTTTTTATGACTTGTCAACTCTTTCTAAGAATTTAGCGGGGTCTCCAGAGGTCCCAGTAAAATTGCAAAATTTTATAAATGAAGGGCAACTGGGCGACAGTTCGACTTCAAACCATACGAACTTTATGCCATAAAGAGAAAACCGCACCCCCGTTATTACCGTGAACATTTAAATATTAGTCTCTCTCTAGGAACTACATTTAACTCAACCCAATTCAGTTTAGGATAATGTGTCATTGTCGATGGCATATAATAAACAAAGCTAGATAACATCAGATAGGACAGTCTAATGTGGGTTATATGGATCGTCTGTTATATTTACTTTTCTTATCTATTTCCGTAGAGGCAAGCTCGTGGGAGCCGCTTAAAAACGTGTACATTATGCGTCTTAAGGAGAAGTATGTGGAATATTTATAAACTTTTTATTTGTTATTAATGGAAACTTAATGCATTCGGCAAGGTTGCTTTAATAATTTCGTAATCATCCGATAATTGCTAGTCTGAGACTCGCTAATGTACTACATAATTTCCATGGTAAAGGTATTAATTACGAAAAATAAATTATTTTTTTTAGTGTGATGAGCCATTTGATTTATACTAAAATGTGCGGACCTTGCATCATTTGAAATAGGAAATAAGATAGTGTGTACCTACCTACAACGGTGTAATTATAATTAAATTTAAAAACGTGCTATTATCTACCATAAGCGGGGTTTCACAAGGATCATTTTGGGGCCGTTGTTATTTTTATTAATTATATGTGTAAGTACACTGCGTTTTGCGCAACTTCCGAATTTTGTTTTGACGTCCAGTGAGGATATTAACGCCACGCAAATTAATTGTACTTATTACACAATGTTTAACGTACTTAGTTACGGCCAGCTATTAATAAATATCGAACTGCAAATTACGTACAAAACGATCGGCAAAAGTTGCAACAATGATCGGAATGAAGAAGACCGTTAGCGGGAGATAGGATCCTTTGGTGCAGTGACCTTGAGTGAGAGACTACCGCGGATAGGATCATAAATTCGACGGCCTACTAAATTGCGTAGGTGTAAAAAAGTGATCCAACATTTATTGTTACGTCTTGAAATGTCCCAAGTTAAAAATAGAACGGATAGACCAAAATGGGATATCCAATGGGAAATCCTATTTGAATATCAATAGAGGTTAACGATCACTGACCTAAGGTTTTTTTACTGTGTGAATTACTTTTATCCGAAATTTAAATTTTTTTAGATCTTAATCGAATTTAATTATTCGCCTCCGTCATTTTTTTTGCATACAAATGCCTTTTTGGGAATCCATCAGATAGTATTTCGTTGCGATTGAGGGCTATAGAGAAGACTATTTGTCATTTAGACAAATTATAGTCACATAAACGAAAGGCCGTTGTCTACTGAAATTGTCAGTCAAGACCGTGACGTTAACTTAAATTCAATCGCGACATGATCTAAGGCTAAGGTAACCGATTGATTCTTCTAAAAACTATCCGCTAAATGACCTATTTTTTGGCAAAATCAATCCCAAGCAAATGCAAAAATAAAAATCACCAAAATTACTTTTTTGAGCGCATTTTCTAATTCATTTTGGAAGGCGCTTTTATGGCCACTTTATCCTTCCGTCCGAGGCCTTAACTACTCCTACAGTTTTCAAGATATTTAGTTCGTTCTTTTTGCATTCGGTAGTTTACAGCTTTGGCATCTCAACTCAGCAAAGAAAATTTTTGACGATCAAACCGTGGAAAGTGAACGTTCTTGTTTATAGAGATATTTTTTTGAAATTGTAACCAAAGATTCTTCTAGTAAAGACAAGCATATCGCATATTGTAAAAATCAAATGTGCGCATGCGCAAACTGCGCAATGTCAACTTTCTTATTCATAGAGATATTTTTGAAATTTTAACCACAAATACTTCTAGTAAAGACAAGCATATCGCATATTGTAAAAAATCAGATGTCCGCATGCACAAACTGCACAATGTCATTTTTATTATTTATGGATATTTTTTAATTTTAACCAAAAATTCTTTTAGTAAATCGCATATCGCGGATTGTAGAAATCATATGTAGGTGAAATTTTAACCAGATGAGAAAATCTTATAGCCCCGTCGATTTTTGGTGTCTACACAAATTCTGAAAATGAATTTTTATAACACTTCGGACAAGTTCAAATAATTCCAAACAAATATTAAAGATAAAGGCTCAAAAAATTGGACAAATTTCGAAAATTGAAAAAAAATTTGGGACTCGAAAAATTAAAAAAAAATTGTTTTGCTCGTGCCCTCGTGGAAAAATTGGATTATTGAAAAATTTTAAAAATTTAAAAGATCACAAACTTTTAAAAAATGTAAAACCCTCTTGTTGTGGTTACTATGAATAGTGACAAATTTCTTTGGAAAATGAGTTTGATGGGAACCTCAAAAGCGGCAGAGCGGATTAATAATGGAATAAGTGAAAACAATCTTGGAAATTTAAGAAAATTCTAGCAGTATATTATTTCAAACTCGTTGCACTTCAATACTATTACAGATAATAAACCTGATTATTAAAAAAATTACGAAAAATTTGTTTGGAAAAATCAAATAATTCTATGAGGAGCGGTTATTGAATACTGATCCTAATCATGAAAACCAATTCGAACTGACCCCAAAATAGAGCGACCTGTATTTAATACACGATTTGAAGTATCGACGAAATTTCGGAAAATTATAAAGGAAATTCCAAGGGCATTAATACTATACATATGCGACAAATTCGAGTATTTCAAAAAACATTTCGAAGAATATTAAAAAAATTGAAAGGCTTACGCAAACATTCGAAGACGAGATTGAAATTGAAAATTCATACGAATCTGAAAAAAAATGTGAAAGGTGAAAATACAGGAAAATTAGTCAAAATTCGGAAATTTAGAGAACTATGGTGCGCATCTTAAAATGTGATGCTAGAAGGTGAAAATGAAATGCTTATGGCATTCTCACTCGATGTTAAGGATGTTCGGAAAAATGAACGTAGGTAATTCAGAAAAATTTAGCAAGTTTTCAATAATTCAAAACATGCAGAAAAATTTAAGAAAACAATCGCAAATAAAATCAGAATATGAAAATAAATGTTTGATGATTCAAGTTGTGAAAATGTTTAAAAATGACGGGCGCAAAAATTCGGCGTTTAAATTAAGAAAATTTTGAAAACTTACTTTGTATTTGATTACAGAAAAATTCTAAAATCATAAATATTCGAAATCCGAGAGACTTTCAAATAATTCAAAACAATTAAAGGAACATAAAAAAATGAAGATTCGAGGAATTCGATAAATTGCAAAAATTGCAAAAGAAACATATAACATAATAAATAATTAAAAAATGAGACAAATTCGAATAATTCAAAATTTTGAGAAATTCGAAAAATTTTTTAAAAAGATTCTTTTGAAAAATTCAAAAAATTCTAAATAACTGCTCTCCACTTTCATTTTTCTTATATGTATTAATGTGTTTTTTTTCTCTTTGTTATAATGGGCAACCGTAAATAAATAAATATAAAAAATATTCTCCATATCGTAAAAAATTAAAGCCCGCGCAAAATCTAAATGAAAGTTCATACAAATTTGAAAATTTACGCAACTTTGAAAAAAAAATTTGAAAATTTAAAAAAACTTGTTGCAGCGGCCATTAAAATTTGATTCTACCTTGAGAAAATCGGTTCAAAATGGCGCTAAAACGCAGCGGATGAACGATCTCCTTTTAATACAACTGGAAAACCTAGTGGCGTTCTCCGCCGATTTTAAGAATCTTCGCATAATCTTAATATGTAAAACAAAGTCCTGTTTGTTACACCACTTATAACTCAAGAACGGCGATTTTTATGATCTTTGATTTGTTGGATTCGTCTAAGACCCGAATAGCAAAATAACTGTTAAAATATTTTTAAAAAACCACGAAAAAACTGCAGAAAATGATTACAAAAGTAACTAGTAGCGTCTAGAAACGAGCGGACGGACGGACGGACAAAGTGGCCACAATAGCGCATTTTTTTTTATTGTGGAAATGCGCTAAAAACGACAAGTAATAACAACCGTGAAATTAAAAACTATCAACTTAACAATAATGACCAATAAACACTTGCCGCTTAACAATACGCAATACTATGCGATCAAAAATGAGTTGCTGTCGAGTCACCTTTGGAATTTTTATTTAAATGGAAAATCGTACTTAACAACATGTTTTAAAACAGCTGCGATCATACAAGTCTTCAAAAAAATTGAAGATTAAAAAATTCCAAAGAACTTAACTTTTTCATTCAATTTTAGTGCTTAATTTGCGAAAAATTCAAATAACACAAAAATCTGAAGAAGAATCATTTAGAAAAATTCCTGGTGGTGGATCTTAAAAGTTGACCCTAAAATATAGCAGACGAGAGTAGGAATTGGGTAATTGTAATTTAGAAAATTTGAAAAACACAAAAAATTAAAAAATAGAAAACTGAAGAAATTTAGCTAGTGTTCCTCTAATTGCTCGGACATTTTGGGTACTTTTCGTGGGTTGCTCTTAGAAAAGTTATTGGGGGGATTGATATCTTTCAACTTACTGGTGATCAAAATCGTAACCTTAGAATTAAAAAAATTGGGAAGGGGATGTTAAAATGTCAATCTGTCTCAGATTGTCCTCAGGTTAGCCCACTGTTCATCGTATGCAGTATGGAATACCATCTTATCTTGATTCGAAATGCGTGAAATAAAAAATTTGAAAGTTTGTGTTCAAAGATTAGAATGCTATTGCATTTGAAACAAACCATTTCTCTGGACCATTTAAAATTAATATCACAACTTTTGTTGCAGATACACCCCTATCGTCTCCTCTATCTTCACACCCGCGCAATCAAGATGGCCTCAGTCAGGACCCCAGATTAATAAACTTAGAAAAGCAACTAAACATAGAATTAAAAGTAAAAGAAGGGGCGGAGAACATGATTAGAAGTATTACGGGAGGACCTCATTCCAGGGATAAGAAACTTCTTGCCGAAGCTCAGCAGATGCTTCAAGATTCTAGGGTCAAAATTGAATATCTCAGGATGCGAATATTAAAAGTGAGTGCCTTGCTCGAAGAAGATTAGGGTAATCTCATTTTCATTTTCAGATGAAAAATAATTTAAATAATAAGCAACACATGTCGATGATAGAAATTTCGCCCGTCAACGGTGAGATTACGTCCCGAGAGCTGGAGCAGTCTTTAGAAGAACGAATCGAAGAGCTGCGCCATAGGTTGAGGATCGAGGCAGCTGTTGTGGACGGTGCCAAAAACGCGATTCGATTCTTACAGAACGGTAATAAGGACAAAACCGAAAAGAAGGCTTTATCCGAGGTAAGATTCGTTTATAACGTGGATCGAGTCACAATTTTGGTATGACGAAGAGTGCTAAGGTTATTACACTAAAAGGGTGGGGATGTTTATGCAAATAGAACTGAATGAATTTTGTTTAACCAAATTGATTACCCTATTTACATATCTTAAGTAGCCGAGTGTTTTGATTTGGTAATCATCCACAAGGCCATATGTAAACACATCAAAGTCCTCAATGTGATGTAATTGGTTTTTATTGATCAAATGAAGCGATAAAAAAAAATAGTTAAGACAATCAATCAAGTGTCAGGTGTTTCTTTTTTTTTTAATTAAAAAAAATTACAAACGCATTTCAGGCGACTCTGATATTTTTACTAATTTCAATTTTATGTAAATAGCGAAATCGGGTTTTTGCAAATGACCACGGTATGTTAGGCAACCGAAGTTGCATGTAGGCAAACAATATTGACGACCGTATTTTAAACAAATAGTGGATGATAACCGTTCAATAGAATGTTGTATTGTTATTGATATAATTTTAAACATTCCTATGAGCTGTCAAAGTTATAGTTGATCCTATTTGTAAAGGCTGATCATTGATTTTATCTGATGAAGACATGTTGCACTCCTGACTCATTGCACACTTACGACTAGTAATTCAATCGTTTTAAGATGAGGATCAGTCCAGAGCTGTCTTATCATCAAAGGGTCTTTCTTGGATCAGTGCGTATCCATCCAGTTGCCAGGAGTCTATACCTTATGTTATGTCGATCCAGTGTACTGTCTATATACCGATTTCCTCCTTAGCTCAAGGAGCTTTTTATCTTATGGTTGTTCTAAGGTTGCTTTAAGGTCTAGGCGTTGAGTGGAGGAATTAGGTAGACACGCAAGCTACATAAGACAGATCATAGTCATTTTTATCTCCTACTAAGGATTTCCTTTTTCTATCCAACATACTGGAACGCCAACTGAAAACTTGCCTTTGGGATTTGAGATTCGAAATTTATGAATATTTAATTGTACATAAATAAATCACTATTGAATTTACGTTACAGTATGCCAATGAAATAGAACACCTATTACCTTTGATCTCAACTCTCGGTAGTGGTACCAATTTGAAAATATTTTAGATGAATTTCTCTTATTGGCATTATATTAACGTACTGTAAAATTTTCAAAATATTTCGAGATCTGCTTTTCAGGATATAGATAGCTGGCACCTTGTATAAGCAACTCAACTTTATCCAAATGTATGAAATAAAAGAAAGGTTTATATACCTTAAGCTTTTTTATTTGGCTGCATAGGAGCAGTACAGATCCTCCAAAGGTATGAAAAGTTTGAACAGGCCAAAATTCGAAACAGAAATCATTTGCAATTTTTGTGTTAGGTGGTTTTCGGGGTTGATGCTTACGAATTTGCTGCCAAAATTGCAAATTGCAGATCTGATATATGGTGTCGTATTATGCAAAAAATTTGCCACTTTGTACTAGAAGGTTTTCAGGGTCGTTGATTACGGATCCGATGTCAAAATTCAAAATGGCGGATTTAATATGGTGTCCGTATTATGCGAAAAATTTGAATTTTTAAAGAAATGATTTGTAACTTTGTACCAGGGAGTTTTTGGGGTCGCTGATTACAAATCCCATGTCAGAATTACAAAATTCAAAATGGCGGACCCAATATGGCATCGTATTGTGCTAAATGCCATTTGGTTTTGATGGATTATATTTGCTCCAAGCACTTTTACACGTTTATAACTTTTCCCTTTGTCCCGACTGAAAGTATAAAGAGGGGACTTAGGGTACAGGACGTTACTGTGAACGGTTTTCACTTCTTAAAGGATTCCTGTACCCAACTTAATGATAAAAAAAGCCCCAACTAGGAACTGTGAGTCGATCAAAATAATAAAAACTGACATGATGACTATTTTTTGTAGAAAAACCCATATTTGTTTCCTGTTAGAATGCCAGAATTTGTGTATTACGTATGTATATCTTCAACCAAATTCTAGAAACTGGTGTATGAGCAGAAATACTAAATACTGCAAAAGTAATTCTTGCTTTTAAATATGGAGACCCCACTGAGATAGTTAATTATACCTAGATCGATATCTTTCTTGTCAATCGTTTCTAAGCTACTAGAAAAAATTACGAAGGTACGGCTAATCAGTTTCTGAAATTAAAAACAGTTTCTCAACATGGCTTTCGCAAAACTGAAATGGCACGACCAAGAACTGAACATGAAATTAATTAATTAATTTTTTTTAATTTAAAAATTTTAGAATTCGCCGTTTTATTGCCCCAGCTATCGACATCGATCAAAGCGCAATCTACAGAGTGTAGCACCTAAGATCCCCGGAGCATAACTCATTTACCATAAAAGATACCGAAAAAAGTCTTAGAGCAAAATTGTACACAATTACCGCCGGCATGTTTCCAAAATATTTTTGATCACCAGGGGCGTGTTGTATTCCAGTGGCGTATCAAACTTGCATTTTTTTAAATGGAACACCCCAAATTTTATTATTGATTTGAAGAGGCCGGGACATTTCGCCGAATGCCCACAACGCCGACACGATTTTTTGAAGGTCCATATCGCCGACTAGGGACACTACGCCGACCGTGCCCACTTCGCCAACGGACACTACGCCGACCGTGCCCACATCGCCGACAAGTGAACAAGGGACACTAAGCCGAACGTGACCATAACGTCGACTCATACAACACTTCTTAATCAAGCTGGACGGTGTGCAACACCAAGTAGCTTTTGAGGTTAGGTTATTGTAGGTTCAGAATATTTTTTTTAACTTTTTTCGAACTACAGACTCATACGAAAATTCTTAATCAAACTGGACGGAGTGTGAAGCAAAGCAGCTTTGGATATTAGGTTATTTGTAGGTTTAGGACATGTTTTTTAAACTTTTTAAAATTTTAAAATACAAACTCATACACTGGACAGATATGAGGGGCCTGGACAGTCGGCGAACAGTCGGCGGTGTGGTCACGCGGTTTAGTGTCCCTTGCACACGTTTCGCGGCGGCAGTGTGGGCACGATCGGCGTAGTGTCCGTCGGCGAAGTGGGCATGGTCGGCGTTGTGTCCCTTGCACACTTGTCGACGATGTGGGCACGGTCGGCGTAGTGTCCCTAGTCGGCGATATGGACCTTCAAAAAATCGTGTCGGCGTTGTGGGCATTCGGCGAAGTGTCCTAGACCCTGGGAGTACTTAAAAAATACTTATGTTTTAGTGTAACATGTTAAACCCAACTTTAACGATTTCGCTGTTGTAACCTTTTTTCATCAAAATTTGACAGTTTTTTGAAATTTTTTTTTAGAGAAACTAAATCGCACAGGCGACTAATTTTTGGACTGAGGCACAGGTCCTCTTCCACAATCACATCATTTTTTTTAGGTACTTTATCGAAAAATCAAATGTTTGATTGACCTTCGCTAAATGTCAAATTTTTAAAAAAATTCAAATGGCACCTCCCTAAACAAATTATACCTCTGGGTAGCCAAAACTACAAATTTTCCACTGATATAAACAAACCCAACATTCCATAAGAAAATTTCAGAGAAAAACCAAGTCGAAACACCAATTTGTAAAAAAAGACGTTCTTTTCCGAATCCAAGTGTGCCATGATAAAACAAAAGATGTTCAATTCTCACAATTAACAGTACAGTGTCGGCAGTGTATGATTGTTTTTTAATCAGCGTTTCAAAAACGTTCCAAACATAAGCAGAGCTGGTTGATATGGTGTTTATTCTTGGAGAATGTTACTGGAAATGTTTGATGACGTCAGAAGCGTATGCTGGGAGATATCCTGGAGTCACACCTTCAGATCCACACGTGTTTCAAAAGCTGTTGGATTGATTTACAGCTACAGGGAGTGTAAAACTACCCAGGAAAATTAAACTGACACCGGTTTGGGAGATCATGAATTGCAAGTTCTCGGGGTGGCTGTTGACAATCGTCATATTAGTGTGCGTGAAATTAGTACTCCCAGTAGTTGTAAATTTATCCAACACCTTTTGAGACGCATGTGGATCTGGATGTGTTCTGCCAGGATATCTCCCAGCATATGCTTGTGACGTCATCAAACAATTCCGGTAACAGTCTCCAAGAATAAACTCCATAACAACCAGTTCTGCTTGTGTTTGGAACATTTTCTCAACGCTGTTAATTGTAAGAAATGAATGTCTTGTTTTTTCATGGCACACTTGGGTTCGGAAAAGAACGTTTTTTTACAAATTGGCGTTTCGACTTGGTTTTTCTCTTAATTTTTCTTATGGAATATGTGGTTTTGTTTATATCAGTGAAAAATTTGTAGTTTTGACCACCCAGAGGTATAATTTGTTTAGGGGGGTGCAATTTAAGATTTTAAAAAAATATGACATTTAGCGAAGGTCAATCAAAAACTGTTATTTTTTCGATAAAGTACCTAAAAAAATTATGTGATTGTGGAAGAGGTCTTAACCTGTCTCAGTCCAAAAATTAGCCGCCTGTGAGTTTTTGTTTCTCTCAAAAAAAATTCGAAAAACTGTCAAATTTTGACGAAAAAAGATTATAACAGCGAAATTGTTAAAGTTAGGGGTATAACATGTTACATAAAAAAATAAGTACTTTTCAAGTACATACTCTCCAAATCAGTAATAACATTTGGAGTGTTTTATTTTAAAAAATGCAAATTTGATACGCCACTGGAATACAGCACGCCCCTTGTGATCAAAAATATTTTAGAAACATGCCGGTGGTAATTTTGTACAATTTTTTTTGGTATCTTTTATGGTAAAGGAGTTATGATCCGAGGGATCTAGATGCTACACCCTGTACACAGACTATAAGTTTTTAGGTCCACATAAACAAGACTTACCAAAAGCTGGATCTGTAATAATCACCTCTTTTTCACGAGAATTTATTATCTTTTAGAAAAAAATTAGTTGACCAGTTACTATTTGTATAGGTTGTTAAAATACTCCTTTTTGTTGATTTTTACGGGCTTTCTGATGATCCTAACTACTGTCTTTTACAAAAGATAATAGTTACGGTAGTTTTTTCTTGTATAGAATCTTCAAAAAGTTATTAGTGCTATTACAAGCATTTTTCCTTTCGTCCGTCCGTGTGAGGGACGAGCTCTCGTAGAAAGCTCTTTGATGTCTTGTTTGATAAATATAGGTCCCCACTTAGTCCATTATAAAATGTTTTTTTCCTACCACCTCGGGATAACTTGGGCAAAATTTTCAATTATTCACCAATTTCGTCGGGAAAACGGCAAAACAGATCGAATGAATGCACAGTAATTGGATTTTGTAGTTTTCCTGTCATAGTTCCTTTTTGGTTAAGTTGGTATTTATTACATTTCTTCTTAATTTCGTCGCGGAAACTGTAAAATGTTTGCCTTGCTACACAATAACTAACTTATGTGCTTGTTCCGTCTTTGTCCATTTCGTTGAAAAGGCAGGAAAAAAAGTGCCACTGCAATAGGCTGGAGCAAGATACTAAACTACTTTTGAAAATGGGCTATCACAGCAAGAAGAATGGCGTTTTTAGGTTTTGAAGATCATTAGTTTTACTTAAAATCCTAATGTATGATGTAGCAGATCTCTGGCCAAAGTTTCAAACTAAAGATTTATGATTGATGTAATCACAGATGACTGAGATAGAGAACAAAAAAAGAAATTTATTTGAATGCATCACCATCATAGCCATGTTGATTCAGCAAGATCTAGTTACCCTGGGATGTTTTGTTGAAAAATTAATGTAAAACATTTGATTTTGAAATTTGTCTTGTAAATGTATGTAAATATAGAGTGTGGACACAGCATTGTTTTTCTTTTTTTGTCCTTTTTTTTATCTCATTCAGTAAATATTCAATATGGTGCCAATAATAAAGTAGTAGCCTCTGCGACATCTAGCATATGTTATGAAAATTCTGATAATAGATTCAGATTCTCCGAAAAAAAAGTGCCCGCCGAAGGTGCCAATGGGAGGCATTTTCGATCGTTTAAGTTAGCGAAATTTGAAATTTTTAGTTTTTCGGTGATATCTCAGTTATTTGCAGATTTTTCAAAAATTTCAAATGCATTTTGTTACTCACAGAGAGGGAAAACTTGGAGACTCCAATGGTGGAGTCCATCAATTTGAACCACCCTGTACAAAAGACAATGTATGATCAAAACACAATTTATTCCAGTCATATTCCCATAAAAAATGTACAAAATAACATAGAAACTAGTTCAGGGACATTATTGCACCTGGCTATTTATTTATTGCTGACGAAATTGTATGTTCTATAATTGTTCGCCAAAAACATTTATGTTGCGTCCGCTGTGAAATTGACAACGCGTAATTTGTCGTCCTATAGTGCAACGCGTAACTATGAATTGTTTCATTAAAGAATATCTGGCGAGGTGTCAGCCAATTTTAAATTTAGTTTAAATGATTCGGCGGACAACGAAATCGGCGACGTCGATTTTAGTTTCCTTACTCAATAGTAGAGCAAACGCATAACCGGGGAACGTTCGTGCGGTACCAAAAATAAGTTTGTTTACGGTGAAAGATAAACTGATCGTTACTTTTTTGTTCGCGAATTGCAGTAAACGCGGATGTTTCGAGTGTTTGCCATTAATTAAATTGAATGAGTTTGACGGCTGTAATTCCAAATATAAGCGCGTCCGTATTTTTAGAGACATACCCACCTGCATTCCAAAAAAATGTAATCATGGTAGGAAACATGTTGCTAAATTTAAAGAGATTTCCTCGTCGCGGCGTATGACGTAATACAATCGCATTATGCTTCCATTTTTGAGCTTTTCAATGAGCCATAGGAAGAATGGAAGGAAAATCTAACGATCAGCCGCAGCAGTGGTCGGTCCACGCGCAGTTTACAATTTCTCATCCTGGAATCGACAATCCAAATGCGACACAACATACTTTCGCGGATCGCGATGACAATAGCGTCCGTATGTCATACTCTTGGACACCGCAAGCAAGCCAAGAAACTCCAGTCACAACTACTGCGCCATCGTTTCCGCTGGGTCGCGGTGGTAGCCAAACGGAAAGTGCACCGACTGGCTATGGATTTCAAAGAGGTAACCTTTTGTTTACTTCCATACCACCACGAAGAACCACCGTTCCCGATCCGCATTTACTAAGCGTTGCAAGAAGTGTGGACGATTCGGGATACCACAGCACACTGTCGCCCAATACTGCTTATAACCCAAAATGTAGAAGTACCTGTAGCATAGTTTTGTCTACAACAATTGATGAGCAACCGGAACTGGAAGATCGCGCTCAGGCGCACTGCGAGCGTGCTCACAGTTTAAGGTGTCAAACACCGGCAGTTAAAACCGATCGTCCTTCGAACTTTTACGGTTGTGGCGACCCCTGGTGCCATCACTCTACGTACAGCGATGCCGGTCCGATTTCACCCAGTCTGCGTAGCGAAGCTTCATGTTCAACCGGACAAACCGTGCTGCACAAACCGGCGAAACGGTTTGTAAACGTAGAAGACCGCAAAGACGTAGCCGTGCAAACGTTTGAGATGGTCGACAAGTGCACTTCGCCTTTTCTTTTAAAACCACAAGACAGTTCGGATGAGAGATCCGAAAGAGACAAAGTAAAGAAGCGTTTTTCGTACAACAGTCGCAGTAGGACCGAACCTGTTGCGAGACGATCGCATTCCCAATCTTCCTTTACGCCTGACAGTTTGGACAGTTTTCAGGTAACACTCCCGCTTTTTAACTGGTCCAACAGAGTTTGGTTTTAATCCGGAAATGGTTTTAGTAAATCTAGTGTTTAGAGGTGCTTGTACTTTATGTCCTCAGACGTCTATTGTTCACTTCCTCAGGTTTTTGAACTTGAGGACATAAGGCTCCTCCAACGCGCAGAAGGGAATACTTTTTGACTGATCTGAAATCCTAGTACATTTGTAGTAGTTGTTTGGCTACTTTAAAACGGTTAGGGGTATCTTAAATAATAACTGGCAACAACGCAATTTCAAAACTACATGATAGATAATCTAATCTGTGCAAATGTAACGGTCCCTTTACCAATTCAAGGTGTTCAACGGTCTGATGGCGAACGTTAGAGGACTTTTGGCATATTATTACAGGCACCGACTGGATGACAAAATTATTTCCGGATTTTTCTTGAATTTTCTTGGGTTAAACGGCTGCTTTATTTGTAGCCTCGAAGAAGATTGGTTAGACAATCACAGCGAACTTATCTCAAATCGCCGCCTCCTACAAATACAATGTCGCCCGAATCGAAAACTGGTGAACAGAAAAAACCCAGAACGGTTCACATAGACGTCTACTGTACTGGCACAGAGCAGGAATCGGAAGACTCGGATCACGAAAGTAAGTCAACGTCTTCGCCTCAAACTGTCTTTGAGTCTGAGAAACTTCTAATCACGCACTCCCGCTCGACTAGCAACGATCTGCCAAATAAACTGAAAGAGCCTCCCCCAAAGCTGTTTCAGTTGAAAGCAGAATCTGACGACGACGACACCACCACAGCGTATCCATCGCAAATTAGCTCGTACTCGGCCATAGGTCCCTTATCGAGTTTTTCTTCAAGCATTCCACCGTCTTGGTCCACTTACTCTATGTCACAGGATTTCGATTCGGTCGCAAACACGTCGTGGAAGGACACATTCTCCGACTTTGATAGTGTCAATCGCAGTCGCTCCAGTATCGCGCTCACTGACAGTGTCGACTTCGTTCCTCGGCGATTATCGACGCCGCATAAAAGCGCAAGTATAGACGAACACCCGGAGATACAACAAAATACGCCGAGTTCTGTAAGTCTTAACCCGAGCGACAGTTTCGAGTATGCTAACTCGGAGGACCGATTGAGAATCAAACAAATGGAGCAAATGTGGACGAATCCCCACCTCGCGAACCAGTGGAAGTCGCCGCAAGTGGAACAAAAGCACCTGTTAGAGCAGAAAAAGTTAAAGGAGTACGTGGAGAAACGCCTCGAACCCGCTCGCCTACACAAAATGGAATCGCGCGAGAGCGACTCAGACTCTGACATTTCAGAGAAGGGTTGGAGTGTCGTGAAGGAGTTGACCGTTCCGGAATCGAGCACAAGCGAACACTCCCCGACCTTGAGGTCGCCCAGCGTTCTCGCCCTTCAAGAGAAATTAACCTTAAATCCCACGTTACGGTCTCCATTTATGGTCGTACCTGGAATTTACACCGGTCAACGACTGGTGGCGAAAAAATTCGGACCTGTGGTTAACGTGTTCAAAAAACCTGGCCACCATATCGGGCCGGTTAAGAACCCAGAATGTCAGTGCGACCACTGTCGCGCGTACTTTAACCATTACGGCAGAGGGCGCGCCAGGTCATTTGGCGAGACTGCCTCGACCCTTCCCTGGTTAAATTGGAACCGGGAGTCCTCCAAGTCTAAACAGTCGAATGTCACGTAAACCGCTTTACTTTAAATTTGCCTTTTTTAATGAAAAGTTTAGCAATTCGCATTTTTTATATTTGCATTTACTCTTTTTTTAATTTTTTGTTGTGGTTTAATAAATGCGTTCATTATTTAAGTTTTTTTTAGTCTACACTTTTCGTACATACCAAAACTACTGACATGTAAGTTAGCAAGACCATTCGGGGTTTTCCCATGTATGTAATTGCAGTCGCTTATTTTTCTAGGCTCAAGCGAGCTTATCGGCGAGTAGTAAGAAATTAGATTTATTACGCAAATCGTTGGAATTGCGAAGACAAGAGTTACCACCTGACAGTCCGGCGGCGATGCAGTTGAAACGAGAATTGCAAAACGTTCAAGCGGCGAGTCCTGTTCCTGTTCAGTACACCAGTTTACAGCCGTTTCGGGAGGGCAGTGATGGTAATAAGATGTTGGCAGGTTCGTCTACTTTCAGTCGGTGTGCTGCAGTTACAGGTAGGTAGTATTTTCCTGATCTTCCTATAATATGCGTCAGCTATAATTTTCATGAAAACATTCAAAGAGAACTTCGGGAGGGGAGAGGGCCGAAAAATTTTTTAGGGAAACATTCAAGGGCGGTGCACGGTTAGAACGCGGAGATCAACATTTTTGAAGGGGGATTTTTTCAACGATTTCTAAAACAATGGCAACGTGGCGTATACAAAAATAAGCAAAACCTTGGATGAAAAAATAACTGGATTGCTTGCAAAGTCAAATTTTTGAAGCCAACATCTACAACGCCATCACAGGGCAGTTGTGCGTTTTGTGAAACGAGATTTGACACACTTCAATGTGACGAGATTTAATTTGGGTGTTTTATAGTGGTTTTATGTAATTTTGTGTTAGTTAGTTGTCTTACTTTTATATAATTAATTAAAAACGAGACGCTGAAGTTGTTTTGTAAAAAATGTGATGCAGTTTATAACCTTAAAAACAAGGACATTGAAACTGACACGTTTTTCGCGTAAAGGCTCCCCCAAACCAATGCGAATTATTCGCAGCTGCAGCGATAGCCAACATTCCGCGACGACAGCGGCAGTGAAATTCGCCTAGTGCCTCACACCGTAGCGAATAAATCGTACAAAATGAACATTTATTTATTCATTAATTTTCACGTTTCTTATTAAACCTTGAAGGCAAAAAATTGGCAGTAAAATTGTTTTCATCGCAATGAATGTTTAAAATGTTTGCCTAAACTGCAAGGCAGTGGCGTAACAACTTTCATATAGAAAAATGTTGTAGACAGTCGATATTTACCGAGATATATACTAAATTCCAAACATAAGGGGCACCCTGTATATATTTAAAATATAATATATAAAAATATATATTTAAAAGGAGTTTGTACTTTAAACGCGAAGTGAAGGTATGGGGTACCTTTACATATCTGCCTTGATGAGAGCGAAAAGAGACATGCTATTGAATATGAGCCGGATCAAAAGTCTGGTTTCCGAATACGAGCCGAGTGGCACAAAATTTCCCTACTAAAAATCGTATGCGATTCTTCGTATCTTGTTCGTGAGCTAACGTCACGTTCGTGCTTTTATACACCGATTTGTACGGACAATCCGTGGTCGAGTCAAAATTTTGCTTTTGCTAGTAAGTATCGTAGGTTGATGCGGTTTTCGCGAGCTTGTTTAGGCATCATTTAGCTACTTTTTCATGAAAAAAATCAAACCAATGCATTTCATTTTTTTGAGAAAATTAACCATTTCTGTCGGAATGTCGAAAAAAGCCCTCAAGCGGCGATATGTGAAACTAACAAAACTTTAATATTATAATATTTGCAGCTGAAGAATAACTCTTTTGAACTAACCCGAGTTTGTTTAAATCGGCTTAGCCGTTTGGTAGATACAAGGTGTTTTTTTACGGAAACCTTTGAATACCCCCCACCACTTCATTTTTAGAGATACAGCAAAAATTGTCAAACAAAAAAGGTTCAGAATATCGTCGACCTGGCATTTTTTTGTTAGGTTAATATAGCGAAATTCAGGCGAAACATCACTTTTTTAGATTGCAGTTACGCCCCCTAGCGGCCATTTCAGGAACTTAAAAATATTTTACAGGTTTTTCTCGTGGCCGTTTTAGTAATAACTTTTTTTACCGCAAGCCTCTACGATGGACAGGTTCCCAGATACAGTACCTGGCATTCTCATTTGGCCACCCTGTACAGTTTTATAGATAAAATGAGGTTGTACAAAAGACTTACTCATGAGTAAAAATTAAGAAGAAAGAAAAATATCAAATAAGAATGTCCCAACTAAATAGAAACAATTACCGATTGTACAAGTTTGTATAGGAGAAAATATGCGAAATGGAAAACACATGTAACTTTAAAATGAACGTTAAATGAATTTATTTATGTATCTAAACAATAGGTAACAAAATACTTTCATGATAATTAACAGGACTTTTGGATATATATAATCTGCGTATAAGTATAATTTTCTGATTACTAAACTTTAAACTGGAATAGTTTACTGTAAGTTTTTCGGTAGTTAACTAACATCCATTTCCGATTTTAGGCGCCACGATGGCACAATTATGTTGCATACAGAACACATTTTCCAAAATGCCCGTTAATAATTACCTCCTCGTCCCTCGACAACCGATCCAAAAAATGCTAAGCAACCGCCCCTTTAAAAGCCCTTAAGACGTCTTACAATAGTTCAGTTCTTAAAAAGCTTAAGATCAAGCAATGGATCATCATCAAGGTCAAAATACAAAAGTTTCTTTAATGTCCACTAGGCCGTAGTAATTTTAATTATACAGGGTTGATCATAAACGCGTGGCACACCAATATTGCATTTTGTTAATGGAACACCCTGTATATTATTCGATATTTCAATTCTTCGTACCCAATGTACACAAATGCAATCGTTCCCGAGTTAAAATAAATAAAAGTTGTTTAACATTTTATTTCCCTTAATAAGGCAGCATTCAGTTGTTTTTCATTTTTTAACAATTTCTATTAAAGCTTCCGTTTTTGACATTTTGTTTTGCTTGCGAAACAGAAATCGCGCGATATAAACGCTGTTGACGGCGAAACAAAAATCTCAACGAAAAAATCGTTGCACAATCGCAGTTGCAACGGCAAACTGACGCGTATGTCTGAGCGTTTCCATAAGCCGCAATATAATTACAATGGAGCGAATTTTTGGCAGCAAAAAATTCGCTGCCACTGCGAATAATTCGCGTTGGTTTGAGGTCGCCTTAAAGCTGGATTCACATGCATACGAAATCCGACGATACTGTAATCCGAAAGGCGTATGATTGGTTGAAGAGGAAGGTAGCTGCATAAGCAGTGTACGAAACGCGCAAGACCACGTTTTCGGGCCTGGAGGGAAAGTTATTTAACCCACGAGGTCGGTACTTAGTGATTCCGTGGCTGGAAGACAGGGGAAAGGCACAAAGCACACGCGCTGGGGTGAATGCATACATTCGTATTGGTCGAAGGAGGGGAGTTACGAAAAAACTTAAGGTTGCGCGTGATTGGTCCTGTTCGTGGTGTGTACCAATTGTGCGATACGGAGAACGCGAAGCGGAGCGCGTTGAATTTTTTCGAAAAAATATGCGCTTTTCGGTTTGAAGCTTCCGTTTGAAATTAGGATCTTTTACAATGGCAATAATTGAAAACCAACAGCAGAAGTTTTATAGCTTGGACGTCAAGGTGAAATTCAGGTTCAGGTTCAACCTGAGAAATCAATATTCTCAGAATTGGGTTTGAAGTTCACGCTTGAAATTTGATCCTTTTCTTGCAACTAATGTAATTGACTAAAGAAAGACAGAGTAATTGGAATTCAAATTCGCCTTCAAACTTTTATTAGAGTTAATCAAAGTCCCATTCGCTTCAAAGATCAGTTTCATATTCAATTCATGTGAAAGATTATATTTTAGGTCCATTCTATGACCACAAGATGGCAAAACTTCAATTATAGATACTAAAAACAATTTTCTCTTACGTAGGAATTTTGGAAGTGAGGCTTATGGGTTGTCAAGACTTGTTAGAAGAAGTACCTGGAAGATCGCGTCGAGATCGAGATGCCACTTCAAGCCCGTCAGATCTACGCAATTTTATGAAGGGAGTAACGGGCAGAAGCTCATCTAAAAGTTATAATGTAAAAGACGAAATCAGTAATGAAATTATGGCTGTTATTAAATTAGATAATCAAACCGTTGCTCAAACTAGCTGGAGGCCATGCTCACAACAAGCTTGGGATCAAAGGTAAGCGTTTTCGGTGAATAGTTTCGCTGTTGAACGCGCGCTCTTTAGATTTTCGATTCAATTAGACAAATCGCGGGAGGTAGAAATCGGAGTGTATTGGAGGGATTGGAGGTCACTTTGCGGTGTCAAGTTCTTGAGGTTGGAGGAGTTCATTGATGACGTTCGTCACGGTATGGCCTTGCAGTTAGAACCTCAAGGGTTGTTATTTGCGGAGGTAGGCTCTTTATTATTAAGTCGTAGTTTTAAGATGAAGTGTTTAGATCAAGTTCCTTAACCCGATGATATCCCGACGGCCTAAACTCCAAAGGCAGAGAAAGATATTCAAGCAGGAAGTGAAAAATTTCCCCAGAGCAAACCAAATGAATATTAATGTCGCCACGTGGGGGCGATTATTAAAGCGATCGTCGCCCGGCATTCAACAGAGCAGAAGTATTATCCCGCCACCTAGTCCACCCGAAAAACCCGAAACCCCGGGCGAATCTCCGGAACCCTTCGCCAGCGGTTTGGGCGGTCAAAGGCCGTTAGATTTTGGAATCGAATGCCCTCCCGCTCTTCCGCCGGCACCGATAGCAAAGAAGAGAGCTCCGATAACACCTCCGCCTTTGCCTCCCAGACTTGATTTGGAAGAGGTAAGTAGCTTTGGTATATGTAATGCACCGGTTGGCGGGTTGTCTTATTTATTGGTATACAGTGCTTCCATTAATTTCATATAGTAAGGGGGCTCCCAGTATATTTTGGTCCTATTTGCGAAAATTGGAATGAAGTACATTGAAATTTGGTTTCGCCCGTGGCGCAACGTTCTCTAAAAGGTGTTGAAGCACCGTTCAGGCAAGAGAGAACCTGTGGTCCTTGAACGTAAATGTAAAGTGATAATAACGGCTTTACAACGGAAATTATAAATATCAAAATAATAAACTTGCAATGAAAACTCCTACTTATTTTCAATTAGCTATTGGTTATATAGTAAAAGGTAGACTTTTAATGGACACACTGTATAAGACTCCCCCTGCATTAAGTAGTTGGTGATAGTTGTACTAGAACTGCATGCGACCACTTTTCAGAGTGCTGCACTTCGAGAATTTGATTTCCTAAATAGAGAAGAACGTGAAATGTCCCGATCGGGGCCATTAATTCTGCCTTGCACTCCCACTACCCCAGATGTACCGCCGCCTCCCGAGCAAATGGTACCCCCTAGTCCTCAACCCGTGGTAGAATTTCCCGATGACGAGGTATACACACACTTTTCAAAGCTTTGGCACATTTTCAATTTGCTCTACTGTGGGAAACTGTTGCAAGTAATTACGTTTGTTTTATTATAGATTCCGTTGTATGATCCGGCAAATGTTGTGCGACGACCCGTAGTGAGGGAGTTGAGCTATAGAGATAGCGCTTATGAGTCCCGAAGGCATTCTCAATTTACTGGAATGTGCATGGACAACTTTAAACTTATTAGCGTTCTCGGCAGGGGACATTTTGGCAAAGTGATTCTGACGCAATACCGCAATACAAACGAGTATTTCGCCATCAAGGCTCTAAAGAAGGGCGATATAATCGCCAGGGACGAGGTTGAATCTTTGCTGTCAGAAAAGCGAATTTTTGAAGTCGCGAACTCGATTAGACATCCATTTTTAGTAAATCTATTCGCCTGCTTCCAAACGGAGGCGCACGTCTGCTTCGTGATGGAGTACGCGGCCGGTGGAGATTTGATGATGCACATACACTCGGACGTATTTAACGAACCTCGGGCAGTATTTTACGCAGCTTGCGTCGTCTTAGGTTTACAATTTTTACACGAGAATAGAATCATTTATCGCGATTTAAAGCTCGATAATTTGCTGCTTGATACGGAGGGATACGTGAAAATTGCCGATTTCGGATTGTGCAAGGAGGGCATGGGTTTCGGCGATCGAACGGGCACGTTTTGCGGCACTCCCGAATTTCTGGCGCCCGAGGTGCTCACCGAAACGTCGTACACGCGAGCAGTGGATTGGTGGGGATTGGGCGTCTTGATATTCGAAATGTTGGTTGGTGAGGTAAGTGTTGGGAATATTGTGAAGTGTAATTGGAGAGTGTCCACTTTTAGTCGCCATTTCCTGGAGATGATGAGGAAGAAGTGTTTGATTCAATCGTTAATGACGAAGTGCGTTATCCCCGATTCTTATCCTTGGAATCTATTGCAATCATGCGAAGGGTAATGATTGATTTTGATTTGTTATGTATTACTTAATTTGGAATTGTTTAACAGTTGCTACGAAAGAATCCCGAACGCAGGCTAGGGTCTAGTGAAAGAGACGCGGAAGATGTAAAGAAGCAGGCGTTCTTCAGAAATATACAATGGGAGGACCTGTTGTTACGTAGAGTGAAACCACCATTTGTTCCAACCGTGGTAAGTACAAATCTTGTTTGTGCAGTTAGTGCATGCTGAATGCTATTTTACACTAGACCTGCTCAAATACAGGGAGGGTTAAAAAAAATGTTAACACTTGCTGCCAGAAGATGGTTTTTTAAAAATTAAATTGTGGGCGTTCTCTCTTTGCAAAACTTTCTTCGCGTGTCAGTGTACATTGAAGGATGTTATTATCACGCATTAAAGAAAAACCAGAACATTCCGATTTCTTCCGAAGATATGCCAAAAAACCTACATTTGCCGATTTTGTTTCTATTTTGTTCTAATGTTATTTGAACAGATACAAAAAATAAAAATACTTAGTCATTGCCACTTTTTGAGCTCTACAAGACAGCGTTGAGAGATTTTCAGCACAACGTTTCGGTTAGAAAACGTCATCAAGTTTATTTTTACCACCCGCACGATAGTAAGGGAGGTATTACATTGGGGTAAAAAATAACCCCCACCTACTTTTTTACGAAAACACGTTTTAAAGTACCAGGAGTCTCATTTCCGGCTAAAACGGCTGATCCGATTGGCACCAAATTTGGTACACATATTTTTAGACATAAAAGGAAGAGCTAAAAATCGTTTGTCAGAACGCGCATGCGCAGGTGTGCGGGTGGTAGCCACAGCAAATTTTTCAATATGACCCACAAAAAAAGTACATACTGTATTGAGTAGTATATTTCAACAGGATGGGGCACACGCGCACAACGCCCTAATAGTTGGAGAATATCTATTGGGTAAAAAAAGAACTAATAATAACATCGGCAAATTTCGGAAGTAATATTCAGGTTTTCTTTACTGAGGAGGGGGAAAAGGGTGTTAAGGACATCATTTTGGTTTTAAATTTGGGAAAAAAATCGACTATTTACCACACTATATAATAACAGTACTAATGCCCCGTTTCACAAACGATCATTAAGTTTAATCATTGACTTTAAATAGTAGAATGTTAGCCACTTCGATTATTAGGGTAGGTGTTTACCATTGTAATATTTTGGTTGAGACTGCGGTGTATCAGATCGGGACTTATGGTATTTGTGACTCTGTGCCCCTTTTTTGTGAAACTTTTAATACTGCAAACAGAATCAATCTAGCTACGTTTGTTTCTGAGATACAGAGTGAAAACAAAAAATTTGACTTTTTGAGATGTTATCGTATCTTACTACCTATGTAAGATAGAAAATAGGTAAAAACCGTCCATTCTAGATATTTATACATAGAATCCAGTGGCGTAGTAAAAATAAATTTGTTGACCACCGTTTCCGAGATTTGACCCAAAGTTGGTATTTTTTAAATGTACCTAACAACATGTATATCTTAAGAAGCCGTCGCGCGCATGAAATAGTTACGCATTTTAGGTTTAGCTCTTAGCGATTTTTTCGAAAACAGTGTTAGTTAGCAACACATCAAACTCACATTGGGTTCTAAAACCTTTTTTCTACTCCTCTCTTGTAACTGATTTTTGATATTTTTAAATATATAAAAGTATTAAATATACGGCACCCGAAAATACCATAAATATCAAGTACTTCTACAATTATTTATGTAAAATTCGAGTATTAAATCAAAAATCTGTTACAATGGAGGCTTATCTTTACATCGGCATCTCACAACACGGAATAGAATCCAATTTACTTAAAAGTCTCACATCTCTAACGCTATTCGGCTCATATAGCGCCGAGTTTGCCGAATTTAGTTTCTTCATCTAATTTGGGCTACCATTGACATATGGTTTTAAATCTTTTACATTAAAAACTGCCTTTTTAGTTTCATCTCTATCCTTTAATTCGTAATTCTACGGATTTAAACGTTTACTAATATAGAAAGGACCTACATATTTAGGAGCAAGTTTCGTTGTATACTATTTTGATGCATCCGATAGCATAAAATTCTTTTTGTACACAGGCTGACCTACAATATATTGTACATCTCTACGCCTCAGGTTGTACTGTGATGACATTTTAATGGACGCTTTCGTAATTAATTTTTGTACATCCTTATATAAATCATTAAATCCGGTTACCCGATTGCATATAATAGGATTAGGTTCTACCTGAACATAACTTTCCAGGTTATCTTTAAATTTCCAGGTGTTACCATCTAAATTCATTTCTGACCCAAAATTTATGAAATACGGGGAATTATTAGTCATGTCTCGACGATCTAATAGCAGCGGCAACTTTAGGTAATAGTCACCTCCATTTTCTTTGATTTTGAACCTTGTTTATTCTCTCTGAAGGGTTAGCCTGCGCGTGGTAATAGGAAGTAAACCTAATCTTAACATTATATTGTTTCATTAAGTTGGTAAATATGTTAGATCTGAATTATCAAACTACTGAGTCCGGTCAACACGCCAACGACTCTACTTCAGTCGGAAAACAGTAGCTAAATATGGGAGCTAGTAGACAGATCCTGAATGTCAGTAAATTCTACAATTTATTATTTCTAGCTCTAACTAGCCACCCAAAAGCCAATCACTCTCTCCCTCGATTTTATCCCAAAATACGTTGCATTACCAAAATTATCACCAAAGGAATGTGACCTTACAGATAATTAAATTTCCAAAACTAGTATTATATACCTGCCTAAATATATGCAACTTACATTGCGCCTATCTAACTACCCTAAACTATCCTAGATGCTATTTTCAATTGCTAAGCGCTTCCCTAGTTGTATGCAGAGAACGTCCTCTTAACGTCAATTTTTGTTGTACTCTTTTTCCTGATTCCATTGATGTATCACAACATATTTTTTAAAATTTTAGCCATGAACCAACAATTAAAATATTTTTTTTATGAAGATCTCCATTTTCTGGTTCTGCTTTTATGAATTAAGAATGTATAAAAGAATTTCGGAAATTTCGAAATCGATCGCTTAAAGAAACAATAATAAAAAATATTTGTGGTTCTTTTATACACTCCATATTCACAACAATTAAAACCTTATTTTTCACAGTTTTTAAATAGTAGACCATGGATTCATGGAAATTTTGTTTTTTTTAAATTGTATTCATGTCAGCTGATACCAATATCAATCATCAATAAAAATGGCTGACGGTAGAAACATGTCATTTCAAAATTTTGAAAAATATGATGTAGTCTAATGCAGTGGTTCTCAAAGTGGGTGCCGCAAGCACTTCATAAGGGTGCCGCAAAATTTTTAAATATTTACTTAATAAGCTTAAAATTACATAAATTAAAAAAGGAATTAAAATAATTATAAAAAATGAATATTTTTGTTTTTTATTACAATTCTGATTTTTAGTTTCTATTTTATTTATTTCTATGGTTCATAATTCATTAATCAATCATATGCTGGTATTGCATTACATCAGACTTTCTCAATCTTATAACATATTTGGGGTGCATATAGATTATAGGGTGGTATGGGGAATCGAAAACGTCCTATTTTGGTTTTGATCCGTAACCATCTTCAAGGTTGTAATAATAATAATATTTTTATTCCATGGACCGTGGTAGGTATAGGACATGTTAAATACACATAATTTCTGTTGAGGGTGTCAAAATTTTAAGTCATAACGGCTTGAAAAAATTTTTTCCGCATACACTGACCAAAATGACTTTAAAAACTACAAAAAAGTTCATTACAATTTTTTTGTGAGTTTCTTTGTTTTTGAGAAGTTTTGAATTGAAATTATTTATTTTATTTTTCTAAATTTCATTTTTCTCTAAAAGTAAGCATCAGAGTGAAAAATGTCAATTACAAAAAAGATGCGTCTTGATGAGGTCTACAAAAAAGGCTTCTACACTTTTTGCGTCGGGTTCAAAATAAAGGCGCTAGAGGGCATTTTCTAAATGTTATACTATGGCCAAAGATCATTGCAATGGCTATTAAAAGTAGTCGGAAAGTGGGGTCAGGAGTTTACCTGACAACTAGTTTTAAATGCTTTCGTGTTTAGAATTTTTTTTGTAAAGACTTCTCATCCTTCATCTCTTTACTAACTCTAAAAAAGCAAAAAAATAATAATAGTAGGGGTGCTGCGAATTTTGTTTAATAATTTTAGTGTGCCACCAGACAAAAAAGTTTGAGAAACACTGGTATAATGTATAATTATATAAAAAAATATAGGTTGTGATGCATCAATGTAACCAGGAAAACGAATGCAAATAGGTGACGTTAAGATGTATAGGGTGTTCCATTAAAAAAATACCAAATTGGGTCAAATCTCAGAAACGGTGGTCCAAACAGTTTTCTTGACTACGCCACTGCATTCTACGTAAAAATATTTTAGAAAAACAGTTTTTACCTTTTTTCTAAACATCCCAAAAGGTCAAACTTTTCATTTTCACCCTGTATCTCAAAAACAAACGTAGCTAGCTTGATTCTGTTTGTGGAATCGAAAGTTTCACAAAAAAGTGGCACAGGATCAGGAAAACCCCAAGTGTTTATCATTAAAAACAGCTGATATGATACACCACAGTTTCAACCAAAATAGATTTCGTTCTCTTCTGTTCAGCGTCAGAAACGCGATTTCCGTGGGGACACCACACCCAGCAGATAAAATTGATAATGTCTGTGGTCCCCGTGGTTTATTAATAAAAAATTTTGTTCTCACCTCCACCTAAAATAAGGGGTGCAAAATGGGACGGCGAAAACGCCAGGTGTACTAAGGAGGATTTAGCTTCAGAGAGTGGCAGAAAGCATACTTAATTCAATCCTAAGTAGGTCATTCAATAACGCCTTACCTTTAGTTACTCAGTTTGGACCACCAGCCTTGCATAAACTCGCCCAGTTAGGAGTTTGACGTAGTCGATTGATCACGGTGAGATAGTGTGTTGACTGCTGCTTTGAGTAGACACCAGGATCTTGTTCGCTTGTGGTATGGGTCATGTGCGGTTTCATGATGTATAGATGGTTGAAAATATTACTTCCACGTTGGTACGCCACTGTTCAATGATTTTACTTACTACCTCGTTGACTGGTAATTGCTCCTTGTTTGTTTAGTCTATATAAAGCGTCACATTTAAATATCCAATCCAAATAGATACGCTACCTGAATTATATCTTTAAATCAATAAATACTGACAAATGCAGGTAATACATCATCTGCTTTATTTATGATGCAAACGTTATTACTTATTAGGTTACAATTCAACAACTGAACAATTCCATGTAGTTTTCCTGACTGAATCTTAAATGTGAATTTGAATGAAAATCCTCATGATAAATTCAACACCCAAATTATAGTAGAACCATGAAAGTGAGTTTATGACAACGAAGGCCTCCTTCCAATCTTACATCTTTTTTTGCAGCAATCTTCGATTTGAACGGCAATTGTTTCATAAATATACGGCGTGTTAATAACGAAAAACAAATGTTTTATATGCAAAAATTGCTTTCTTCGTAAGCGCGTTAATTGGTGATGAAAATTGTACACGTTGATGTGTATGAAAAAGCACTTGCGGAACAATATTTTACACTTTTTCCACTTTATCTTCAAATGTGCGCATCCGTCTCGTTTTCCCCGCAAAACAGAACCGAAAATTGTTCTTAAAAATTAACGCTATTATAGTTAGACACAACTAGAATTCCACCATAGCTAAAAGCGTTAGCATGTCATTTTTCATTAGAATTGTGTGTGTAGCTTTGTACTTTGTCCCGCTATACTGTAACTACTAAATCAATATTATTTTTTTTATGCATAGAACTTAGCTAATGGTGGAGGTAAAATATCAGACGTAAGTCCTTAGTAATTATTTTACGCTATCAATTGAAAAACACCTCTCATTAACCTCGTTTTCATTTTAGAATCACCTGGAGGACGTGAGCAATTTCGATGAAGAATTCACTTCGGAGAAACCACAACTAACACCGCCGAAAGAGCCGAGGCCCTTAACCGATCAAGACCAACATCTATTTAGAGATTTCACATACATGGCCGACTGGTGCTGACAAAAGTTCAATTTTAATCGACTCTCGACGGAAGTCTGTATTTAAATTTCTATAATCCGATCGCTTCATTTTCTGTAATTGTGGCATAAACTGACGATTCTACAAAATACTATTAAGATAATTTTTATTTCGTTATAGCTGTGTTAAGAGTTGGATTTTCTTTTTCGTTAAAAAAAAACCACCTAGCGTGATCTCACTCGCAATGATGTTCATTGATAATTAATGAAGTCGCTTTAAAGACTGTTAAGGGCAAATAAAAAGTACTTGTTGTATTATTTTAATTGATCGCTTTTACAATTTTTACATAACAAAATTAGTGTTGATTACAGATTTTGTTAATTATTACGGTTATTTGTAAATATTGGTATCGTAAAGTGTATGTTGTTAATTAGGCCTAATCGGTATAGAGTTGATTAATTAAATACTGAATTGTAATTATGTGAATTAACATTAATCAAAATGTAGCTCTTCCAATTTTGGTAATTTATTTGGTCACTGTTTAAGACTGCATACTGTAAGTATTTGCTGGAAGTGCCTAATTTTAAATAGTGATTTGACAAATAGCTCAGTGTATATATACTAACATCGTATTCATACTTATTTTTTGATGCTTTAACATAAATAAATTATGTAAGTTTTACAAAACAAAAAATATAGTATTACCACATAGCGACTGCTATGTACCTTCACCCTTTGAAGTTGTGGGTAAAGTCAACGATATACCGCATATAGCCGCCTGCTCGATTGCATCCCTGTGCCTCCTTAAATTCGAATCGATCCTTCTCGACGTCTCCTGATGAACGTTTTTCGAATCCTCCACCGGCTGCATGAGACCATTATAAATTTGGTAGTAAACGGAGGTGGAATCCGAATTGACCAATACCACAATCCTATAGGAGAAAACAGTTTTTATCTAGAAAATCTATTTCAAACGACTCACAATTTGTGCTCCGGATTTTTGCACAGTTGAAACAAGTCTTGCAGGTACTTTAAAGAGACTGTGCGTGAAACTTCAATTGGGAAAAAAATGCATTCCTCCTCGTCTTTAGTTGGTTTTGCCGAGAAGTATAAGCTGTCCAGATTTTCATTGTAAAAATACTTCACATCCCAGTATCTCTTCACTGATCGCAATAATTTTATTAACAATTTGTTTCAAGTAATGCACAAATGTGGTGAGTGAGTTTGCTGTTTGGTTTCCCTAACGAAAACTTAAAAATTACGGTAGTTAAATTAATGAAGATCTAATCAATTTGCTTCTGTGAAATGTGGGAAATTATAAGGGTTGGGCCTACAATCCTGTACACTTTTGTTAAGGTTACCGTTCAAATTTTAGGACTTAGACTCGCTGAGAGGATTTTGCATTTTGGGATATGTCCTCTTTCTTGAAATATGGAACATTTTCAATTTTTTGAAAAGCATTATAAATTCCAAATACCGTTTAGGGCGTTTGAGATTCTTCTATGTCCGAGCCTAGAAAGGGAATTGACAGTTCTGAAAAGGTTGTAGAAAGCAGTCGACAGGAGTCTAAATACAAAAAATTGACATGTGGGATTCGTCTCTATAGGATAGCGCCTCAGAGCAATAGATAATTATTCCTCTGAGGATAGCCCAATTAACATGCTCTCACTAACCTTCACATAATTCCAAATATACTTGAATGGCAATAGAAGTTGATTTCGGATTCTGACACCCAAGTTTCGTAAATTCTTCTCTCTAAAACGGCAGTATCGACATACAGTTAATTAATTATAAGAAATGGTACCAAAAATTCTATCATTGTACTAAAGAATGAGGTTAGGTGTTTGTTTTGTTATGTCAATGGATTTGTGTACAGTGCTGCTCAAAAGTGTCAAGGTCTAGACAGTGTGTCCCAGGTAGAATGCACCATATAGAAACGGCAATGTATTTTTTCGCCAAGGATCCACGAGACCTTTGAAATTAGCGTTCAACATACTAATCCAATCTTTTTCTAGCAGCAGGCAAGAGCAATAACGTACGTTGAACGCTAACTTCAAATACATATCAAAGGGCTGATGAATCCTTCGCCAAAAATACATTAATTCTGTTTGTCTATGGTGCATTTAACCTGGAACACACGGTATAATGATGAAATGAAAATGGATATACATCTGTGATTTTTGTTCGTGGTAAATAAGAATGTTTTTTTCCAAATTATTCTGTTTTTCGAGTTCTGAATGTAGGTTTTTCAGATTTATCAAATTCTCTCAACTTTTCTCTTTGGATTCTCCATAAATTTCAAAGTCTTAGGTTTCTTTGAAATTTTCAAATGGTTAGATCTTTTTTTTTACATTTTTATCAATCGGATTACCTACTTCAGATTCTTACGATTCTTCGGGTTCTTCAATTTCTTGGAATTCTTCCGAATTTTCGGATTCTCTTATCCATAAGGTTTTTTAGAATCTTAGGTGTCTTCAGCTCCTTCACTTTCTTCGAACGTTTCTGGTTCTTCATATTGTTTAGTTTCTTTAGATTTGTCGTACACGTCGAATACTTGAAACCTTCAGTCTACTTATTAAGATTTTTGTGATCCTTCAAATTCTTAGGGTTTTTCCCATTTCTCTGGGAATAGTTGATTGAAAGATGCTGGGAAGTCCAGATCCTTCATAGCGTATTCAAGACCTCTAAAATACGTTCCATGTACTCATGAACTCCCTTTCCAAAAATAGTCAGCCTAGTAGAGGTCGTTTGAAAGGACGTTCTTCGATTCCTGTCTATAAAAAATTCTCCGAATTGTTCCATTGGCCAGAATTTGATTCTTCAGATTCACTAGTTTCTTAAATTCGGTGAACTCTTCGATTACCTCCGATGCTTCGGATTTTTCAATTATTATCTGATCGTTAGATTTTTTTGCCGTTCGGCAGTGTCTTTAGGTCCTTCAAATTCTGCCATTTCTTCGAATGTTCCACAGTATATTTCGATTCTTTATGTACTCTTCCGATTCGGATTGTTTTTTTCGAAATGATCTTGCTTTTCGGATTGTGTAGATCATCCAGGGCCGGCTTTAGGCGTAAGCGGTGTAACCAGTCGCTTAAGCCGCAGACAAGAAGGGGCGCCTCTGTACAGGGTGTTAATTAATTTTATGCAGATATTTCAGGGAGTGAGACTCGTCAAAATAAGAAAAAATGCAAATGCAATGTGGCAAGTTGACGGCGGGACATAGGGAAATAACATGGGAAAATACATTTTTGGCAATTCCTACTCCCCATTTCATCCTACACAAAAAACAATCCTCGGATAGATAATGAAGTAGGTAACTCATAGCCCACCAATTTTTTACCACCTTTTTAGATTTATTAATTTAATTTTTATACTTTAAAAAAAAGCCTTAGGCACGCTTTTTGGTGACATCTAATGCCGATTTTAATTATTTATCCGAGGGTGTTTTTCTTTAGGTTAAAATGGGCAGCAAGAATTACCGAAAGTGCATTTTACCATGTTATTTCCCTATGGGCTATGTTCCTCCGTCAACTTGCAACGCTGTATATGCAAGGCCTAAAAGCCGTCGTTTTGGTTATACAGGGTGACAAAGAAAATGCAACACCTTATATACTGCGACCAACTATTTTGATACTTTATTGTAGAGATTCTAAAAAATAATTGATCTATCAAATTTGATATTTGAAATTTGAATATTTGCATTTTTTTGACGAGTGCTACAAACCCCTGAAATATCTGCATGACTCTAATTAACAACTTGTATTCAATAACGCATTTCCACGCCACTTTCTCCGTCGTCTGTCCGTTCGAGGCCTTAACTACTTCTATAGTTTTCAAGATATGCAGTTATTTATAAAGATATTTTTTTAAAATGTTAACCACAGATGCTTCTAGTAAAGACAACCATATGGCATATTGTAAAAATCAGACGTGCGCATGCGCAAACTACGAAATTTCAACTTTCTTATTTATGGATTTTTTTTATATTTTAACCAGAGATTCTTCTAGTAAAGGCAAACATATCGCATACTTTAAGTATCAGGTGTGGTGTGTGCATGCAATCTTAAGTTTCTTATTTATAAGAATATTTATGCCATAACTTATTTTCCTTTGTACACACAAACAGTCCGTTGTATGACCTGTCCGAAAGTACTGATGAATTCATGGAAAATGTGCTAAGGTTACTCGCCTTAAGGCGAAACCTTTTTTGATTTTTAAAAACGTGCTTGCCAAAAGTTCCCATTATTCAGGTTTTATAGCGAGACGAGCAGAGGCGCAAATTTTAGTGCTTGCTTACACGTAACTTTTGCGTTGAGCCGGCCCTGTGTAGATCCACGAAACTCTTATGTTCTTCGGATTCTTCAGCTTATTCATATTCTTCTCTTTGGATTCTTTATAAGCTTCGGAATCTTAGGTTTCTTCAAAAAGTTTTAAATTTTCGCTTTGGGTTCTCCGGAAAATTCGGATTCTTCAGACTGATCACATATTTCAGATTCTTATGATTCTTCAGGTTGTTTGACTTCCTGGAATTCTTCCGAATTTTATGTTTCTTCAGATCCTTAAGACTTTTTAAATTCTTAGGATTCTTCAGTCCGTTCGCCTTTTTTGATCATCATCATCAATGATTTTTGCTAATCTTCCGATCCTTTCGTGTCTTGGGATTCATCAAATCATTCCATAAGTTGGGATTACTCTGTATTTTTGCTTTTTTAGATTCTTCGCCTTTTTAGTCTTAAAATTTATCAAATCTTCAAATTCTTATAGTGCTTGAAACTCTAGTAGTCTTGACGAACGCAGGCATTTAGTTGAAACATACCTATACGATTAAACATCTAGAGGATACATTGTAGACTGTAGATTAGAAGACTAAATTTTCTACAAAAACTCCGCGACGGCATACCTACGTACATCTTAAAGCGTTTATTGTCCTAATGCATTCATAATGAGTTGTCAAACTGGCCTAAAAACAATATAATAAAAACAAGTTATACCTACAATGAAAGTAGTTTATTGTCAATATGCAATTAGTCAATATCTTCAACCGCAGGCCCTCCACCCCCACGATCGTCAGGGAAACGTCTGGTAGGAACGTTATGTACTCTACTCGAACCACTCACATAGAAGCGCATCGTTATCGGTTTGCAAATATTTTCCACCTCCTTCCTTTTACTTAAAATTTCTTCTTCCTGCGCACCCTTCTTATTTTCCAACCACTCCATTGCCTCCTTGAATACTTTTTGTATCGTTGTGTTATCTTCTTCTGATAATCGGGAGGCGATCTCTTGGTCGTCAACCTACACCAACGGTGCTGTAAGTTAATATTGAGCTCAGTTTCATATTACCATTGACTTGAGGTGGTAAAGATAACTTTCCAAATCGTTGCGCGCGATCACCGCCGACATGATCTTCTCGTCGTCCACGCGAAATTTCTCGGCCTCCTCCACCATGTCAGCGATCTGATTCTTTGACAGTCTTCCTTTGTCGTTTGTGATTGTTATATTGTTCTTCTTGCCGGTCACAGCTTCCTGTGCGCTGACGTTCAAAATTCCATTGGCGTCTATGTCGAATGTTACTTCGATCTGTTAGCGTGGAAGAGTTAAGCGAGCGACGGGAAAAAGGTTTACCTGTGGAATTCCTCGTGGCGCCGGTGGTATCCCCGATAGGTCAAACTTGCCCAGGAGGTTATTGTCCTTTGTAAGTGCTCTCTCCCCCTCGTACACTTGGACTAGGACACCCGGTTGATTGTCGGCGTAGGTGGAAAAAATCTGCCGTTAAATAGACACTATTCTATATCATGCTTTTATATGTATATTAATTTGCTGTAACAGGCTACGTTTTGTCCATTTACAGTAATTTCCTTTTTATTCTTTATGTAGAAGGAATTGGTTTGTACATTATAAAAATGCATATTGTATCGTTAGCAAAGGCATTTTTAGAATGGAATGTAAGATAAGGTGTGTAAGAGCGAGAATATGTAGTTTAAAACTTCTTAGTAGTTGTTTATACAGCTGTAACAATGCAAGAGTTAAAAAAATGAATGCAGAAGGGAAAACAAACATGAAGGTCCAAAATGTTCTTTGGGAACTAAGCTCCTGAAAGTTCCAAAATTTGGAATAGGAATAGAAATATGGCATTAGCGGGTTTGTCTACGTTTTTGGATATTTTCTTTTTGATTTGGCATTTTCCAACAATTATTACCCAAGATGACGGATCTCACCCCTAAACAGAGATGCGAAAAAAATCCCATCTCGACCGAATTAAAAAAAATTTCAAACTGCAATACTGCACTTCAGACCCGTTATACTAATAAAATTGCATTTGTAGATGTAAAACCTAGACCTTCACAGTGAAATGATCTGTAATTTTTAGAGGGCGCCATATAAATAATTGTTAAAGAATAATCTTTTATTGTTAAACTCAAATGGAAAAAAAGTAAGCCATTACCTGAGAATGTTTTATGGGAATAGTGGAGTTCCTGGGTATTAATATTGACATAACACCCCCGGCGGTTTCGATTCCTAATGATAACGGAGCTACATCCAGTAATAGTAAATCTTTAACTGCCGCCGAATTATCCCCCGCCAGAATTGCAGCTTGTACGGCAGCGCCGTAGGCCACCGCTTCATCGGGATTTATCGTCTTGTTTAATTCTTTTCCGTGAAATATGTTCTGTAACATTGTCTGTATTTTAGGAATCCTCGTCGATCCTCCGACTAACACGATGTCGTTAATCTGAAACGCATAGATTAACGCCTTTCTTAAGCATAACGTCGTTTTACTTTATCCTTGGAGAGCTTGGCGTCTTTGAGAGCTTTTTCCACGGGTTCCAACGTTCTCATAAAGATATCGTGATTTAGTTCGTCAAACTTCGCCCGGGTCAGTGTCGTATGGAAGTCAATACCTTCGGCTAAAGAATCTATTTCGATTGTCGTCTGGTTGGCCGACGAAAGCGTTCGTTTGGCCCTCTCACAGGCCATTTGCAAACGACGCACCGCCCTTTTATTGGTTAACAATTCGGTCTTGTACTTCTTGTCAAACTCTTGGGCGAAATGTTGAACCAAGCGAACGTCAATGTCTTGGCCGCCCAAGTGGGTGTCTCCAGCTGTCGCCTTCACCTCAAAAATCCCTCCGGCTATGACCAAGACTGATACGTCGAAAGTACCTCCGCCCATATCAAAAATTAAGACATAGCGGTCCTCGTCGCCCTAAAACCGTTAACTAAGTCTCCAGTTACCGGATAAGGTATTTATTGGTACCATCTTATCCAATCCATAGGCGATTGCAGCGGCAGTGGGTTCGTTAATGATCCTTTTCACGTCCAAGCCCGCAATGGTACCGGCATCCTTAGTCGCCTGTCTTTGAGAATCGTTAAAGTACGCCGGCACAGTTACGACAGCAGTACTAATTTTCGTTCCCAAATAACTCTCGACAATCTCCTTCATTTTGCTCAAAACCATAGACGAAATTTCCTCCGGGAAGAACGTCTTCACCTCCCCCTTGTAAGTCACCTTTATCTTCGGCTTGCCGCTCTCGTTGATCACCTTGAACGGCCACATCTGTATATCGTTCTGAACCACGGGATCGTCAAACTTTCTTCCGATTAGTCGCTTCACGTCTAAAGAGTTAAAAATGAAGGATGGCACGACTTGGGCGCTTACCGTAAATAGTGTTGGCCGGGTTGAGGGCGCACTGGGTTTTGGCTGGGTCTCCGATAAGCCTCTCGACATCGGTGAAGGCCACGTAACTGGGTGTTGTACGGTTACCCTGATCGTTGGGCACAATTTCTACGGTGTCGTTAATGAAGACGCCGGCAACGGAGTATGTAGTGCCCAAATCTATACCGATTGGCATTTTCTCTTTGGAGTTCGATGGTGGCGTCTTTTCTGTTTTTGAAGACGTTGCCATTGTGGGTGAAGGGACCGGGTTTCTTAAACTGAAATTTTGACGTTGGGGTACGACGTTTACAGTGACATGACCGTAACGTTTTGAATTACGACAGGCTGATTTTTCATAGTCATCTACAATTCATTTCCGAGCACGGGTCTCATTACTGGTGTCTAATAGAAAACGAGGTATTAAGTGTTTTAGTTTACATCTTCCTAGTGGTAGTAGGGTATTATCGTCCTTGGAAATTGTTGTATTGAAATTTGAGTATTTGACGACAAATTTTGGGGCACCGTAACTTATTCAGAGAGGGTGGTGGGACTCTCTAGTGGGGAAGCACATCCACTGTATTAATAGTAAGTATATTAAGAAACAAGTGTATAATCAAGTCTTTAAAGCAACAAACATAAACAAATATAAAATAAAATTTCAACCTCTTCTCGTGATCACGTTTCCAATCTAATTATTTATCTAGATTTTTTACTATCTGCAATTAATCCAACACCTGCTACTGTTTTGCTATTCAAAGGATAAAAATTAGCACACACAAAACAGGTCCGAGTCATGATTCATAAAAAATATAAAAATCTGCTCACGAAATAAACTTCCGTGGGTCGACTTCTTCAGGAATGTTAAATTGAATTTGAGCATAAATTGCTGTCCAAAATCCCCAAAACGATCGACTCCTGTTTTTATACAGTGAGGTACATTTATCGATGCGTCGAAATTTTCTCCAATTTACAGTCGATTTTGTTCTTTTGAAATGTAGCAACAATTCAGTAAATTGGATGGTGGAACGCCTTCGGCCTTGTGCTATAAAAATGGACATTTTGTATCGCCTGGTTTTGAAAGATTTTGACGACCTTTATAACCTCGGGGTTTTAACACTAATTAATCGTCTTTCAACTTTTTAGCGGTTGCCGTTTAGAATCTTATTATCACCCCATACAAACAAGTGAGGCGCACAAATTTGGTTCATAAGTTGTTTTTGACCGTAACTAACCACTACAAGTATTAAAGCAATGAGTAAATTGGGTGACTGCAATGCAAAAGACGTGTAGTAAGGTGTTTGTGTCTTAATTACTTTCAGAAGACCGGTAGTGTCATACAGTCTGCGATTTGTATCGTATTTCATCTTTTTAATTGGTATTATTAAATTATATTGGGAACAGATTTAAACAATATGTGGGAGACCACCCTATATTTATCACCTACAATTTTTATTAAACTCGACTGTATAATACTATATAATTTATTGTCAAATAAAATATAATATTGAAGCTACGGCCTGAAGATGGACTCGCTCGCCAGTCCAAAATCGATCGCCTAAAGAAAAATAAATAAATTTCAGCCTGTTATCTTGAGTACTAACGTTACTCCATCACCCTAACTCTTAGATCAAGTTAGCAGAGTCGTAAGCTATTGAATCCAAAAAAAAAGCTACACTATAGGACTATTTGAGAAATGGACAGACGAACTAACGGGAAGACGGACAGAGTAGGGTTGGGAAACTTGAAAGATATAAAATACTTTTTCTAGATGGAGAGAGTTTAGTTCCATAGATAGTGTGATGTTTAGGGGCCGAGACTGACAGACAGACACAAAAAGGAAAATTGTAAATTGAAAGAGAATGTTTCGTTTTTTCCTTACCTATTTAAATTCCGAATTTATATTCTTACACCATCTCCGAATTTATATTCTTACGCCATCTAGGTATTTCCTATGTAAACCCGTTTAAAGATGTAAGTTATTTCGGTAGTAAATTTGTGATTACCTTAGTTCTTTATTTTCGCCGGTAGATACCATGCGATTGTTACAGGTTTCTTTTACAGTGTTTTTTGTTTCGTCGCTAGAGTTCACGCTTAGTACGAGGCACGTAGATTAGAAATTAACATTTTTCTTATTGAGTATTTTAGGGATTTATCTTCCCTCAACGTTCTCTCATAGTATACTCTTAAGTTTCTCTTCTGGATTACTTTTACGTCATTATATACCTGGACACGACTAGGTCAACATCCGCTGCAAAATATTTACGCTGAATTAGTCACGTGAGACCGTTATCTAGGTTTTTTAGTTACGTTACTTGTTTTACTCTGATGAATTTGTTCATACTATCTCATTTACATTTTGAATTAATTAGATTGCATTGCTGTTGTATAGAAATTAGTTATTTGTGCATCGTAAAGTAGTTTTTTCGTTGTTAACGTCACGCTTATGCTTTTATAAACCGATTTGTAAGGACGATCCGTGGTCGATCAAATGATCAAAATGTTGCTTTTGTTTAGTTTAGGTCATTTAAATTATTGATTCTTATTGAGTATTACTTACGGTTTTAGTATCCCATTTGCCTAGTGTCAAACGTTAGAATTGCTATCGCAATATTTTGTGCCGCGCTATTCACTAGCTCTCTTGTTTGTTTGTTTGTGTGGTTATCTGTTACAGATTAGGCAGAACGCGCCTTCAAACTTTTTCATGGTTTTGTCAGTTCGTGCTTCCAGAGGTTTTCCAGACTTTGGGCATCATGAATGGCTTTCCGACTTGCGCCAAAAAGTTACTCCATACACTTCTACCATTTTTTATGGATTATCTTCGGACCACTGCGTTCTTTCGATAAAAATTTCGTGACGCTTCTTCGTTCAAGTGTCAAGTTACACCTTTCTGTCACTTTAAACTAACGAAAAATTACAAATGTTAAGCTATTATAACCAAACTTGGAGATGGCACTATAAAATTCTAACGGAAACTTAATGACGTGATTTATTTATATACAATTAATTGTTAATGAATTTATAACTCGTCCAACACAATTCAATTTCCTTATATACCAAATGAAAGGTTTCACATAAATTACGGGACATTCTTCTTCTTCATTTCTTATCATCGGTGACTAATCTTTTATCGACTTATGGCGCTTCGATGCCGCCTGCTGGCGCCCCGATGTCTCTGAAATATCGCTACTAACGAAACTTGACGTGAGAAAATTTTCGCGATAGCATATCGTTTTCTACCTAGGTAGATAACGTACAAAACTGTGCTTCTGCAAGGAATACTATTTGTTGGTTTGTATGGTTTTGTAAGCTCAGTTACGCTTATTTTTGCCTTTGAAAAAATCACAATGTGACTAATATTTGTGAATCCGAATCCCAAGCTATAACTTCAGCGACATACTTTTACTGTAGGTACGTAATTTAATTCGCTCGTTAGCTGTTTAGACTAAACGGAAAAACCTCAACAGAGATTCAAAACAACTTCCCAATTACAGAATTGTTCTCTGTAGGTGGGTGGTAGGTACACGAAAAAGAAATGTCGTGTAAGTTTCCAACAACATGTAAGTAGTTTAAGCCTCGTCTTCGTAATGCGTACCTCCGATTTAAATTTCGTAGAAGTATCAAGAGACTCTGGATTAGCGGGAGTTGCCTACTTGGCTGAGCCCTTTCCTCTCCTTCCATCGTCAATTTCACGATTTAGTTGTTCCCAGTAGCTAGATTTGGCAGTTTAGTATTCCGGAGAAGTACTTTGTTAACTAACTTTGTAAACCGCATCTGCATATTTAGTTTGGGCGCTTTTACGTCTATTTTAAAATGCGTTATTTTAATACTTACGGGGAGCGATGGAGGATTAAAAGGGCGCTTTTTTTTTCTTTTCTCGAAAACGTTTCCGATTTCACCCCTTTTTGGCATGAGAGACATTTTATCACTTTCGAGTGCCTTTTGTTGTCTTAATTCGTTTTATGCCAATATTTGTTATGAGATGTTTGAGTGGAGAATGTAAGGAGGGAGGCCTGATTATAATGAAAACTGAAATTACTTTAAGGTTAATGCCTATTACTAAGATCAAACATAATTTTATCTCAATTTACAGCACGTCAAGTGGTAAAAAGCATCTTTGAGTACATAGTTTTTTATTACTACCATGTAGTTAGAATTCAGTTTAGCTAGTACATATTGATCGCCAACTACACGTAGATAATCGTTTCATTCGCGCTTTGTTACTGCGATTAGTTTAACCCTTCTCAGCTTCAAGATAACTTTGTCGAAATTTCATTCTGTCGTTAAATAGATACTATCAAATGCGAATCCCACAATCGAGCATTTGCCATCATGTATCAAATTACATTTAAACGTTGAGTGAGTGAGGGAATCGATTCCTGCACTCGACGATTTCAACCTTTCTGATTCCTTGTTTTAATGAAATTTGTAGTGACAAGGTATAATGCTCATTTGGCTACAAAATTGCCATTAATATTCTCTGGCGAGTCTTAGGGTACCTGATGCACCATACCTTCTCCTAGACACAGACTTCCTAGCTAGATAATAGGGCCTCCCCCTCGTTCATTTCTTACGTTGCTTCTTGTAGGATTTTTTACCAGATGAACTAGTACAGAGGCAAATTAAAGACATCATTGGAATGCAGAAAAAGCGCATTTTTTAAAACCTAAATAGCTTACACAAGAACCAGTTTGTTGTAGCCCATCATCTGAACAAACTGTGACCAAATTGCCACTGAACTCAGAATTGAAGGTCGTGTGTTCCTGGATAATTAGTCAACGAGTCGTTTGCTTTGTTACCAATTGCATTTCACGCGCCGATAAATGGCAGTATTCAGCACCACTTGTCCCCGGAAACGCGAATTGGTATTAAGCCTTGAAATAATCTGTGGTTTACAGAACTAAAGTTTAAAGCTCAATTCTGGCCTCACTGACAACTGCAGTTAACCATTTACAACTTCCATTAAACCAGCACAAATGGCTCTGAAATACATGAAATGCTAACATTAACATGTACACTACAATAGAAAAAGGCAAGCAAAAGGAAATAGGTAATTCTTTCAATTAAATTTACGTTGGCTGCTCACATATTTGAGCAAACTCAATTCAATTACATTACAAATAATTGACGTTAACAGAAAGCGTAATTTCGGCAGCCTTAATTTCTCCAAATTACTGTATTTCTGCATTTATTTCGAGGTCATTAGACTACACGCAAGTTTCGTGAATTATAAAGGCAATGTACAAATCATTATGTAATCAAGTCAATTAATGAATGTTAAATGAAAAGAAATTACCTTGAAGTTCTCCGATGATGAATTTGAACTTCAT